TATTATAAAAGATTTCCAAATAAGAAAATGAAACAGGTATTTAAAAACGGTCGGAAAAAAAAAGTGGAGCAAGTATTTAAAAACGAAGGTAATACGTGAAAGTTGAAGTCATTTATATTAATCTTTCCTATTATCATTCGGTAAGTTATTTCCGTTTTAGGTACAACATGTTTGTACCAACTAATGTCACAACTTTTGGGTAGATTATGGGTTGTTTAGGTTGAATATTATCGAACAAATTAGACCCAATCAAATAGAAATTGATATTTACTTTCAAAAAACTGATTTGACACCCTCTCCTGACCCAATTCCCCCAACGTGAGCATATTTTCCTGATTTCCTCTACTTACAAGAGTGGCAAAATTAGGAGTTTAGTAATAAAACGAGAAACACATTTTTCCTCTATATACTTGGTAATACTCCGTAATAGTTAGTACCCTCTTAACCTTTGTTGACAAGTAATTGTATTTGGCTTATAAATGCTTTTTCGTTCTATTATACTTTTTCTATACTATTTGTACTATAAGATTTTGTACAATTGAAAAAAATAGAAGACAATAATTGACACGCCATTCAAAAAAAATTTAAAAAGGGAAAAAATATATATTAATAGAGACGAGACAAGTAAATAGGAATACCTTAAATAGAATATCAGAACAAATAAATTGGGGCCGAGGGTGTAATTGATAGTTTGATACAAAGGATAATGTAACCACCAACTAGTAACTATCCCAAACAATTAAGGTCAAGGTTAATTATGAACAACAAAGAAGTAATTTACTCCTTTTTTTTTTTTTAAGTATTGTTTTACAGTTTGAATGATTGAACAGCTAGTGTTGATATAATAAGGTGGGACTCCTAATATAAATGGTGGACAGCAAGAGCTGCCAATGACGCTTTAATTATAACCTCAGTAGTTAAGAACCCCTGCCCTCTTAGGATGTATACAGTTGGCGAGAAAAGGCAAGCACAATGCGACCCACAGGGAAACAAGCTTCCTTCATTTCTAAGAGGGCCCCATTTCTAATGCATCTCTCATTTCATTTATTTGCTGATGAAAAACATCAGTAATTCATTTATACAACAAAAGACATTTATTTTTAGTGCTATTTCTCCTTAGGAATTCAATTTATTTGATCTAAGCAACTGGAATTCATTGGTTGAGGGACCCAGGAATAGATAGATGAGAGTGAACTGGGAATAACTTGCTTGATTTCTTGTCTTTTCTTTTATGTAAATTTTACTACCAATCTTGTTGTGAGATGTAGAATTAATTTATAAGCTAAACTTGGAGAGAATTCTCTAAATAGAAGTGAAGAATGGCGATAAGTTGGATAAATTATTCATTTAAAGAATGGTGATGCTCTATACCCTAGTAGGCCCTTAAGCATTAGGAATGACTCTAAGGGCCTGTTCTCATACGTTGAAATTCAATTCAATTCAATTCAGTTCAGTTCCTAAATTCCTTCTCTTATAAAATATTCATTTCATTTCTGTTCAGTTCAGCTCCTAAATTCCTTCTCTTATAAAATATTCATTTCAATTCAGTTCAGCTGAGTTCAGTTAATGAGAACAGGCCCTAAGTTGGATAATTAGATAGGATAAGAATTTAAAATGATGTTAACCCTTGTTTGATATAGATAAATAACTAGTAAAAATTGAATGGTAGAGGCATAAGTACAATGCTTGTCGTGCATATGTTGAACATTAAAGGCATGTTCTCTTTAGTTTATTTTCAGTTTAGTTTTAATAAGTTCAATTTAGTTCTTAATTTTTTCTCTCATAAAATATTCAGTTCAACTCCAATAAGTTCAATTCAGTTCAGGCAATCAGGACATGCTCTAAGTCTAACTTTAAGAAAATATGAAGATTAATAAGTCCAATGAACATGAGATATCTTAGTTATACCTCCAATTTTCATTGGAGTTTATGTTCATTAGAAGGTATTTTTCATGTTTTTTGAAGTAAAACTTGATGTTCAACATTTGCCTCCACCATTATATTTGTGGAGAATTAAGCCTTGTTCACTTTACCTTATTTTTGTTGAAGCGAAATTATATTTATTAAATTATTAAACTGAAATTATTATTGTTGAACTTAAACTATTTTTACTTAATTAAAATTAATTTTACTACTCTCTGTTATATATTTCTTCTTCGAAGTTGGTTAAAAAAAATATTTTGAAATTATTGATTTTTACTGAATATTATTTAAGCCGGTGTGAATACATGCTTTGATAGGAATGAGTAAGAAAATTACCTAATTGCCTTTATGTATACTTTTCCTCTTTGCTCATTTTCATTCATTAAGGATCAAAATGTGTTTTACTCTTGCATTATTATCCTCATCTCATACACCCACCCTTAGGTATTATTTTGGGAGGGAGCCCTACTTCTCAAATAGAGATACATTTTCAAATAGAGATACGTTTTTTGTATCTCAAAATGACACTACTGTAAATAAAAAGAAAAGTATGAATTTTTTAATATTTTTTTGTACTTTTTTATTGTCCTTTTCTTCTTCTTCATGCTCATCTTCTCCATCCTCTCTATCTTCTTCATGCTTTCCTCCATCTCCATTGACCATTCTCCATCTTCTTCATGCTTTCAATAGAAAAGGGAGAATAGAAGGATATGCTTAACCCCTAAAGAAAGAGTGGTGTCTTTCTCTATTAAAACTGTTGCCATGTTTTATTTACCCATTGAAGTTTCTTATCTTCTACATTGAAAACTTCTGATTTTGTTTGAAAATAAAGGTTTTTTTAGACAAAATTACAACATTAGCCCTACTATGAACTTGCAAAAAGACCATAGTGCCAATGTATCTCAAGTTGAGATACATGAATTTTCTTTTATTTTGGAGGAATTGTTAACTTAGTTTTTATTCATATCCTCATTTCCCTTATTATTCCTATCCCTATAAACAAACAAAGGGATTCTCAAATCCCTTCTCTTATCTCCATGTCACTCTTCTCTTATATTTCTAAGCAAATAAGTTGTAGAGGTTTAAATTTTAAGGCCCTTTTTGGTTGGGAGTAAATGAGAGAAAAAGAAAGGAAAGGAAAAATATGTCTTCCTATGTTTAATTTTGTTCTAAAAATTAGATGGATTTTGATAGGAAATGGAAGGAAAGCTCCCTCCACAAAATCTTCCCTTTCCTTTCCTCTTAAAATTGGAGAAATTTGAGAGGAAAGAAAGAAATTAAATCTATCAAGTTTAAAATTAATTTTCCTTTTCCTTTTCCTTTTCCTTTTCTTTCCTTTACTAATGTCATACCAAACAATAGACTTCCCTCTTTAACCTTCCTTTACTAAAGACCAAACATTAGATGATCTAGTTTTTTCCTTTTCCCTAGCTTCTCTTCCTTTCTTTTCCCTTCCCTTCCTTTCTCCTTCTTTCCTTTACTAATATTGAACCAAACAAAGCCTAATTTATTGGATTGATTATGATAGTGGTATCATAATTTACCCTATTTCTCGTTTCACTCGGGTAGCCATACCAAATTGACACACTACTTTGAGAATTGCTTGACAAATTGTTAACTACTGTATTGAGTGTATTCAGTACCAATTCCAAATGAATGGCATAGTGTCATGCTAGATGACCAAAATCTAAATCATCATTTTATGAGTTAATTAATGCATTTTGTTTTACTTTTACACGTACGTACGTTGTATCACAAATTCTCTATAATCATGCAACACAATGAAGGTTGTTTCCCTCACTAAACTAGTTCTTTGGAATGTTTAATATAAGTGGTCCCTTATTTTATTTTATTTTTAATGTCAATGGTTAGTTGCCTGTCTTTTTCTTGCTTTGAGTAATATTCTGTTAAAAATATGTAAGCTTTATGATATCATATTTCTCGCGTGGATGATGGATTGATGGAGAAAACAAAATTTGTAGTAATCATAAGAGACTTTGGAGCTTCACACGGTTGATTGAGAAATGAAGATACCCTTAAAATTCAGTTTTATCTCCCCTATTTAAAGTCATTAATGATTGATGAGGAGAAAGGAAAGGATCCTTTGTTGTGCACAATATAGTGTTGTTGTGTTGTCCATAACTATGTGAATGAAAGAAGAAAGTGTGGGAGCCTACCACTCTCTTCCACTTGATATATGATGGCATTCAAATTTATTACTCTCTTAAATGGGTACATTGTATAATAGATTAATAATTCTTAAATATGCACATACTTCCTATGTTTCTATACATGTGTTCATGAGGCCCTGAATTATGCTGGTGCGTTATGCTCTCTTAAATTTATACATTATATGTCCTTAAATATGTGTAGATGAAGTGTCTTATACAAGTGCCCTCTAAAACCAAGTGTTTTATGGGTGCTTCAAATCTTACACGTATGTATTACTCCATTCCTTAATATTGTAAGATATGGATTGGACACGGATTTTAAAAAGAGGAAAGAAGTAGAGAGGAATATAGATAGAGACCCATGTGATGAGGAGGAAAAAAAAAGAATGAAAACATATATTACTAGGAAAATGTTGTAATATTAGGGGATCAGAAAAAGTATAATTTAATAAGTATAGACTAAAAGTTTTAAACGCATATGTTTGGGTGCATGATAATATGATGTAGTTAGTCTATCATCAATAATGTTTTACGTAAATCAATTTTAGATAGATAATTAGATATTGGATGTTTGTGAAAATTACAAGTATTAGTTGACCATTTATTTTGGTGATAATCATCAGTGTTCATTGTCAACCTAGCTCTAATAAATGGAGTTAAAAGCTTAATTTATTGGAAAGGCTAAAGACAAAAGAGAAGTACTTGTATTTTGAATTGAAAGGGAAGTAAAGATTTTTGTGACAAACCATTAGAAACATTTTAGGAAGCCAAGTCACTGATTTCCTCTTGTACGAACACATAGTTTAGTCACAATGCATACCCCATTGGAGATGAGCTCTGATTCTAAACTCTAAAGGGGGTTTTGTATTCTTGCAAACCTTCCAATTTCCATAGTAGAAGTATAATTATTTATTATTATTATTAATAAGTTGGACATCTAAATAAAACTAAAACAAGATGTAGGGAAAGATGAAAGAAGAAAAAAAAACCCAAAGAGTGAGACATCATCCAATGTGAGACACACTAAACACAAGAAAGTACTCAATACCCATACCCCCCTTTTCTTTCCTTCCCTTTCTTTGTACTTTTCAATTTTTTTCACTCAAAAAAGTTGAAAGCAACAACACCCTGTCCCTCTCCCCTCCACTCATTTTTTTAATAATTTTTTAAAATATTATTTTTTTTCCTTTCAAAATCCCATTTATTCATTATTTTACTAACTTACATTTTTCTACTTACTGCAAGGCTACAAACCCTTAAATAGGAAGTCCTAACTCCCATATTTGTGAACATTATTTTACACATCACTCTCTACTTTCTACTCATATTTTCCTTTTAATTTTGTTTCAACTTTCTACTTGTATACTCTGAACAAAGTAAGCCTAACTCTTTTCTTTTTTGCCTTCCTTAACTTCAACTATTTTCTCTCTCTTACTTGCTTACTTTAAACTCTTTTCTCTCTCTAATTAGTAAGTGTAGTAGTCTCAATAATTTTTCTGCTTCTACGTTAAATATAGGCTTAGCTTTTCTTTTCTCTTGTCCTGCTAAAAAAGAAAGGCTATACTATTAAGCACAGCTCTTGCTTTGCTTTCTTCTCTATCTCTGTCTCTCTCTTCCTGATCCACACTGTTGTCATATTATTGGTTTGTAATGGAATCACTGTCAGAGAATGAATGGTTGGGAAGCCCAGATCAGTGTCCTTGTTCTGCAACTCTTTTTTGTGAGTTTTTTTTTTTTTTTTCTTTTTTGGTTTTTGAAAAATTATAAAATAAAATAGGCATTATTAGCTGTTATACTAGTTTTACATTACATCCCCTGCTTTCCTCTTTTTATTTCCAATTGTTTGGGCCTTCTCTATCCTTCCAACTTTCTTGGATTATTTCTGCCCCAATGTTGACAGTAGTCTAGAAGTTTGTTATACAATCTGCTTGGTTTCTGAGAAGTTTTTTTTTATTTCTCAGGTATCTATTTTTGTAAATTTAACAGCTTTTTCTTCAATCTTCTTCTCTTTTATATCCTTAAATTAGTATGCTTACTACTCTGATACCTGCTGTTATTCTTCTTTTTTATGTCTCTCCTGAAATTTGCCTATTTTGATTCCATTTTCTCTCCAAAAAAACCTTTTTGTACAGTATTTTTTTTGTAATTGGGTTTTTGGGGATTCAGAAATATGACTGGAATTTGGAATTAAGTTAATAGCAATCATAGAAGTCACTCTCCAATATTGCCTATTGAAGCCATACCCATTCTTAGCTGTCCAGTATCCAGCATAAATTGCTTTCTGGTTAATTAGTTGTAGTTCTTACAAATTTCATGTGGTTTGATATCTTGGGTGAAAAGATCATGTGTACTGGTAGAATTAAGTAACTTGATTTTATGTATTTATAGATTTACTTCTATGTTCAACTAAATGACCACGTTTATAATATTACTTGCACTTCACTTATGACTGGAGGAGGGCTTTTTGGGCCTCTTTCTGTCTCTCCCTCACTTTGTCTTAATCTTAATTGGTTTCTTAAGATTAATTAATCAATTTTGAAAATGACTGACTTTTACTTATCTTTGTTGTTTTTTATGTTGGTACTACCTCAGTGGAGCCTATATATCCTAATCATTACAAAGATTAGGTATTCACCAAATCTAGTCTAAGAATCTTGGATTAGTAAAGACTACCAATATATGTCTGTGAACTATTCTTGTATCGGCTTTTTTGAGACAGAACAATGTTGAAGAATTTCTGCTAAGTATAAGGTTATTTTTCCTCATATCATATTAATTTATTGGTGTTACATTTTAATTACAGGAAGAAAAAGTAGGGTGGACAAAATTTGGGAGGGAGAAGGCTATTATATGGGCTATAAACTTACAAAAAATTACTGTGACTTGGCTGAGTTGAAGAAGGGAGGAATTGCTACTATTTCAGCCATTTTTGGGTCCTCTAGCTTTGATACAGAGAAGGCAATAGGAGAGAGGCTTGTGGATTTGAAACTTGGTAGGTTAGGTGACATTGGAAAAGGATTAGTGAACAACTTCAAGGGTCATTCACATTCTATTATGGACCCATTTTCACCAACAGCTGGATCATCAAAAAGGCCCCGAACACCAGGTACCAGTACCCAAGTGGTTTCGTGCTTAGTGGACGGATGCAAGGCCGACCTTAGTAAATGCAGGGACTACCACCGACGCCATAAAGTTTGTGAGATGCACTCCAAGACCCCAAGAGTTACAATTGGGGGTAATGAACAACGCTTTTGTCAGCAATGTAGCAGGTAATTTATCAACTTATGGAATTTCTTTGAAAATTGTACTTTTTTGAATTCTGATTATGTGCTTATGTTGCTTTCAAGCTCATTTAGGTAAGAACTGGCAATTCGGGTAAAAGAGTTTTCAGGTTTGGTTTTGGGTCTATAATGGGTTATATGCCTAAGTATATCCAAAGTCTATCACTTCAAATTATATACCGGATCAAATTTGTTTAATTTGTTCGAGTTTTTCTCAGTAGCTTCAGATTCGATTTGTTGTTGTAAGTGACTACTGATACTACTAGTATACCCTTGTTGGCCAATAATATTTGTACTAATATAGATTAATATATAAATGGTTTGGATTTTTATAGTGCTACTCCTTATGGAATAGCAGCATTAGGTAGTGTTAACTGTATTGTTAGTACTTACTTGAACAGTTGAACTGTGGACTGATACCATGAATGACTATAGATGGAAGAGTTTGTCTTAAATTCTGGTCAATTACGATGCAAAGAAAGTTTAAGTTAATTAAGGTATTTTGGGTGTGATTTTTTACCCCAATAGTGCATACTTTATTTACACACCTAAATTAGTCCTAATAGTGACTACTCTGGCCATTTCCTTCAACATCTTTGATTTGTATTTGTAGGTTTCACTCACTAGGGGAATTCGATGAGGGGAAGCGGAGTTGTAGGAAACGTCTTGAAGGACATAATCGTCGTAGAAGGAAGCCTCAGCCTGAACCCCTACCTGTGAATCATGGAAATTTCTTTTCTGCTAGCCAAGGTTTGGATTATCCTTCAAAACATATGCATGACATGATTATCCTTAAAATCTATGAGAATGTATTGCATTTTCTTTTAGTTATGAGATAGATTTTGTGCTCCCATTTATAGCTAGAGAAGCAAGCACAAGCAGAATTGTCTTTACCTGACCCTCAACTTCCCTTGATTGTTGAACTGAAACCTTTGTAAGCTGGAAAGCATTTGAATTTTGGAAAAAAAAAGTGGTTAATTTGGTGAACCTTTTGATGATACTGAAAATGGCGGCTTTTTTTCTTAGGTAGTAGATTTTTGGCATTCAGCAACCAACCAATAATTCCAGCTACATCAGTAATGTCAACTGCTTGGTCTACTGTTAAATCTGAGAGCAGCCCAACACTCTACAACAGCGCGACACCTAGTTCATACTCTCCGGCCTACAGAGGCAGACAGTTCCCATTCTTACAAGTTCCTGAATCCCCACTTACTGGAGTTTCTTCAGCTGGTCAAACAGTTCATCACGATCCCAATAATGGTGGCGGAAGCAGCAGCAACAACAACCACAACACTAACAACCAGAAAATACTTTTCTGCAATAGCCTGAACCAAGTGATTGACTCGGATCGTGCTCTCTCTCTTCTGTCATCAAATGCTGAGACTCCCGAGATGGGTTTGGGTCGTACCTTCCATCATCCGAGCCCTATAAACCCTACTCGGCCAATGCTTTCAAGCCTGCACTTCAACAGCGTTCCTTCTCAGTACTCAGGCTCCTCCCAAGGCCATGGTATGGAAGGACATCCTACAGGTTCTGGACTGTTCTCGGACTTACGGAGCAGTAACAGCCTCTGCCAGGATGTTTTCCAGAATGATACTGGTGCATCTTCTACTAGTGGAGGTCATCAAACACTTTCCTTCTCTTGGGAGTAATTAGTTGCTGTTGCCATTTGTTCGCTTGTCTAATCTCTTTCCTAATCCTAATTAATCCTTAATAAAAAAAATACTTTGTTGTACGTTAACTTTATCTTTATTTCCAAGTCTTAAATTTGTTGGCTTTTCCTTGAATTTGGTTGCCTCTTAAATGCTTGACAATTTGTGTGTTCTGGGATACTACAGTCCCAAAAGAGATGTCTCACTTTGCATTTTTAACCTACAATAATTCCAAACTTCCCTTACTTTGTTGAACCTCAGTTGTCTGCATACTGTAGCTCTTTAATTTGGCCGTTTCTGTTTACAGTTCTCAAGGGTAATTTCTCAAAAATCACTCTTTCTAAAGATATTATTTTTACTGGGATTATGTACTTGTATTATTTATGCAACTTCTCTAGGAATATGTTACATAGACGAGAAATACAAGGTGCTACATGTCTAAAATCTAAACTACAGGTTTGTTTTCTCATTAATTTTTTTTCTTTTTTTTTTTTTTAAAAAAAAAAAAGAACTGTTTCAGCTTGTATTATATGAAAATTAGAGTTTTCAATACAATACTCAATGTTTTCTTGATTGTAAAAAAAAAAAAATAAAAAAAAATAAAAAAACAATACTCACTATTTTACTGTTAGTAATTGCTGAAGAATGTATTCAGATGTACAGTTTATTTCAATGTTAAAAGGTTAAGAATGCCAGAATGGTGGTTAATTTGAGAGGATAGTTAGCCAGGCAGGTGTCTTTAGATCCCTAAGATTGTACGGAGTATGAAATACGGAGTTTGGTATAATAGTATCGATCACTAGATTTAGTCTATGTTAAAGTTTTGCAAATGCTAGTATTTGAAGTTCAGTTTAAATTATTACCCTCTTCCTTCTACAATAATATTCCTACTTGAAATCGTTTGACTTTTAATTTAAAAATAAGAGAGAATCTTCTAAATTCTCTCAATCTATGAGAACAAATACTACGAAGTCTAATTTGACTCATCTTGGTAAGTACGTCATTAATATCTATATATTTTTTGCTAGTGTGGGATTAAAGATATTTGCAAAATTTACATGGTTTACATAAACATAAACATCATTCTGAAATGAGAGGAGTAGCTTTCAGTGATTTTTTTTAATTACTTTGATAATTGACAACTAGCATAAGAGTAATAACAACTAGTTCAACATTTATTCGATATTAAAGACTTAAAGTCATGAACTTAAAACCTGGAATTGAATTGGTTTTTACTTATCAATATTGATTTTCTACTAATTGAAACGAAATTTAATTTTATTGATCATAATATTTTCTTCAGGATGATAATTTTTTTTTTTTTAATACTATGTAATTAATTGAACTAATTCTTGCTAATCAACATACCTTAAAATATTTAAATCCTTTATCAAACTATTGCTAATATGAATAGTAAAAAACAATAAAACTTGTACGTACACAAAAAGTAATAGAGTGAATAATATTATCAGTAAAATTGTAATTTGGAAGTAGTGATGGCCAATTAATAGACATGTGAATATACCATTCTGGGTAAAATTTTGTACAATTACTTTATTAGTGGACTCGTACTTTTGCTAAACATAATACCCCAAATTGTAAAAGGTTTCGAGTCTCTCAAAATAATGTCTTTCATATAAGATGTGGTGAGTGGTAAGCTGGTGACATATTATTGTTTATATACTATAGTAAACAAATATGGAGTATTCCGTAGATATTTTATAACTAATGATATCTGCATAATTAAATATCTTGAACTTCACTGTGTTTTTTTTTTTTTTTAAAAAAATGGTATTCTTAATTATGTTTTGTGTTTATTGATTAACGTGCATGCAAGACTTCTGGCAGCATCATCCGAGTTATTTGTTAGTTAAGTACAAATTAAAGTGAAGCATTTTCTTACTTATTATAACTTTCACACAATCAAATGTTACAAGTTTGACTATAATTAAAATTTTATTTTCACACAAATGTTGCAAGTTTGACAATGATCAAAATTTTATTTTCTACTCATAAAAGTTATTAAAATAAAATAAAAACATAATGTTAAAATAACATTACTCATATTAAGATTAATCCAATAATTTTTCAGAAGTTAAAATCTCCATATAAAAATAGTACTCACAAATACTTCGTAGTCCGTATATTTATACTACCTCCGGTTCCTATTACTTGCAACAAATGAGTATTATTTGTTAGACATAAAATATTACTTTGTTACGAGTAATAAGAATGAGAGGTGGTATTATTGATGTAGACAAAATATAGATAAACAAAACAATGGAAAAAAGTCACATGGTCGTTAAATATCTACATTCTACAACTAATATTAAACTGAGTGTATGGTACAAATAGCAATCTTTAGAGTGATCGAGGTTCGAGGAGGATTTTAAAAACAAAAGGAGGTTACAAGGACGAGGACATGTTCGTGTTTACTCAAAGAAATTGGCTTCTTCAAAAACCAGTCAACTTTCTTTTTTGGGTGCTTTATATTGATACCATTTATTTTATTTATTTTTCGGTTTGGAATAATTATAAATACTTTATAGGTCACAATTGTCGCTTCAAATTTGTTTTTAAACAAGATTAACATATTAGCTATTGGCGCCATGAGATGAAGGGAACTACATGTCTCATCTTTACTTCTATAAATATTACTCCCTCCATTTTTAAATACTTACTCCACTTTTCTTTTTCGGCCGTTTTTAAATACTTGTTTCATTTTCTTTTATAAAAAACTTTTACAATATTTAATTCATTTCTCACACTTAGGCCCTGTTTGATTCACCTTAATTTTGCTGAACTGAAATTATTTTTACTGAACTGAACTTATTTTTACTGAACTGAACTTAATTTTACTGAACTTAAATTATTTTTACTGAACTTAAATTATTTTTATAGATTTTCTATTATAATTCTTCTTTAAGAAAACTGAAATTTACTGAACTGAACTTTTTTTACTGAACTTAAATTATTTTTACTTAACTGAAATTAATTTTACTGAACTTAAATTATTTTTACTTAACTGAAATTATTTTTATTTAATATTATTTTTTTAAGGTGAAAAGAACATGACCTTAGTAGACCCAGCATAATACTCTCTCTCCTCCTATTCTTCCACTAATTTTGCTTTTTATAATTTTTTTTTATTTTCTCAACTACCCCACTACCTCCATATTTTATAACTTTCTCCAATTTCTCCTAAAACTCCGCGCATGGAGAAATGTAGCAAGTATTTAAAAACGGAGGGAGTACTAAAATAACAACCGCTAACATCATTCCTTTTTTTCAAATTGTACACGTGTTAGCTTTTCATTCATTTTTTTTCCACCTAAACTTTTTTTTTTCGTTTTAAGTTTTTTTTTTTATAAAAAAAAAATCTAACTATTAATTGCAAAGTAGTTTAATACGGAGTACAGTACATTAAGACAATATTTGTTAGTTATTACCATCTTATCTTTAAATAAATTGTATATATTAGAATATATCAAAGTAATTTATTGTTGTCATGGTATTTTTTATGATTTATTGACAAATAAAAAGATTACAAATTCTTAAATGGAACTGGTTCACACTAATTCATTGTGGACCACTAACATCAGAAAATTATGGTTGTTTTATTAGTTAAAAAAAGAGTCACTATAATAGAAAAAAGGTCTCTATGTTGACATAAAAGTCATTTTGGTAATATATAGGCTATAAAAGGTTAATATTTTTAATAAAATATTTTATATACCGGTTAATATGAATAATAAAAGTCACTATGTTAAAATTAGGGTCATTACGTTATACTTTAAATTCACAATAATATTAAACGTTATACTAGTTTTAATAAAAGGTTACTATGTTAAAAATAGGGTTACTATGTAAAAATTAAAGGTTACTATGTTCAATATAATGTCAGTTGAGTGTGTATAAACCTCGGGTCCACAATAACATTATTGTGGACCAGGTCCACGCAAGTCTTTTTGTAAAAAGATTAACAAGTCTTTTAAGTTTTTTAAGATAGATAGATAAAATAAATAAATAAATAAATAAAACCAAAGTAACAGTGTGACACCTGAGTAAAAACCGGGTTACACACTAGTTTGAGTTTAAACTTTTAAGTCTTACAAAACATAGTATTCTTTTTTGACTGCTCCTAAATTGTTTTCACTTGTTTCAAAAATAAAATAAAATAAAATAAAAAATTAATGTTTTTACTATTACAATTAGCATGGAAGTAGTATGGGACAATCAATCAATCATAAACTCTCACTACTAAAAAATCATGGAACAATCATAAATTCTCACTACTACAAATATAAAACACAATATTGAATCTTGTCAAAAATCTTCCCCATATATACTTTTAGAGTATCAATTTTATATAATTTTATGTATAAAAATTCCAAAACTTAAGAGAACGGAATAAGTTAAAGTGTGTAGATAAAAAAAAAAAACACCACCATGTCCATATCTGACACCCACCTTCCATCATCACTAATAGTATGTTAGACATATGAGATATCGAAAAAAAAATATTATTCTCTTAATGATATCTACGGAAAATATATTACACATATATTTTCCGATATCTCATATGTCTAGCACAGTCTAACACCGCCATGTCCATATCCTATCCGCTATACCCCTACGGCCCTATTTGACACCGACATCATCACCAACACCACCATACATTGACCCCCAAAGGTGAACTCGCATCATACATACATCAATTCATAATTAAGAGGCTCATCAAACATACCTATAATAGGAAGTTGAACCTAGGATCCTTATGTAAATTTTGTATCAATTCAAATATAAAACGATAATACATCAATTCATAATTAAGAGGCCCAACATTTGCTTCGGGTGTATTCATCACTTTCATAGTTGGCTTGGGCCCAAAATATTTGCTAATTGGGCTTTGGACTGAAGCATTTAAAAGGTGGCGCAGAGGTAATCCTCATCTGTATGAGTCCGTTCACACACGTTTCCAAAAATATGAGACAGTAATGTTTTGTGTTACTCCCTTCATATTTTAATAAATATTATACTTTAACCGATATATAATTTAGACAATTTAATTAATTTAAATAAAATAATA